CATGGTTAATTGTTGTAAAAACTGAACTGTAAAATGACGTCTATGTCTCTGAAATCCATGACGAAGTTGAACAAGATGACTGATTTGTAAATTCCCCGAAAGAATAAAACGCAGAAACTAGAAAAAGTCTACATAACAGGTGTGACATTGTAGCTTAGCTGGTAAATTGTGCGCGTATATTATATATATATTTAATATATTTAACACCAACCTTTATAGATTCGGCGCCTACGCTTTGTACGCGCACAAAGCGTAGGCGGGGTCCATGCATGGGTTCGAATCGCACCGAGGCTACTAAACTTTTCACAATCGTCATCCTGGATAGGGGACTAGTCGACGGCAATAGCTAACTCTTTGTGCGATATTCAATGTTTTCCCATCCTGCCGACGAATTTATAGTAAACTAAAACTAAGCAGGAGTAGTGGGGGATCCGTCATGAACGCGGAAAAGTCAATCGAAATTCAACGAACAGCTACCGTTCACCCAAGTTATACAGGCTGCGAGTGATCGAATACGTTCTCTTGAGACATTCTATTAGCCTTATGGCGATTAAGAAACTCTATACCGCTTACCGTAATCCGTACAAGTTGGTTCAAATGACAGGTTTAAAAGAGAAGTGATAATGATCAGCATCAGTCCTGCTTGTGTGTTGGATGCAACATCCACTGCATTGTAAAGCAAACTATTGAATCGCCAGGTTCGATTTGGGTTTTCCGAGGAAAATTGCGTGAGCAATTCAAGTTCCAGTTCAGCTCAGAGCGGTGAATAAAACTTTGGCGTTAAACTATTGATTGTACAAAAAGAAGTTGTATATTGTTTGAATTGCTGGTTTTTTAGATATTTCTTCTGATTGAGCGTTATGACAGCACACACACATGTATTCGAGTGAAAGGATGGAACATCAAAATAAATATCAAAAAGGAGGAACCAAGGTCAACTAAACTCACTAGCCAGATGGTTTATTCGATCCATCAATTCTACGCCGGATTCATCAGGAATTTTTCGGCCCAAATTGGTCGTTAGAATATGTACAACTTGACGCATCAGGTTCATTGCACTGGATTCAGTATTAACAAAAAGGATTGATTAGTGGACCGGGTCGGTAGAGCGGTGAAAGACAGTCAATTTCAAGAGTGAAAATACACAGTAAGAGATAAAAAACGAGCTTTTTCTGTGAAATATGAGAGCAAAAACTTGGTACTTGTTCCTTTATGATACACTAAAAAAGTGCTTTATTTGAAAACCATACATGCAAATGATTATTACTGCTACGCCATTGACCATTCTAGAATTATCATTTTTAAAACTTGACACACCAAATTCTCCAACAGCTAAGCAGATCAACTCATCCAGGGCTCTATCCATCTGGTTGAATTTTCAGGGCTTATGCTCGCCATTCCGATTGACAGTTGCAAGGATAAACTTCAGTAAGTACTCCGTTAACATTAATGATCTTGAAGAGCTAACGTATGTTTAACCAAAATTATATATATATATATATATATCAATTTCTATATAATGAGAGCTAATCAAAAGATTGGTAAATACATGTTGACTTTCTTCATGTGTGCGCGGAGGGTAGGAACCCTCGGTATTTCACTCTATCTTGTATCTGATTTAAATACAAACACGCTAGCTAAATGCTTCGGTCTTAAGCGGTAGTCTAGCTTACCGACTAGAACGAACAGTACAATTTATGAACTTTCTTGCATGAACTCATTTTTCTTGGGATACGATGATGATGCTCTATTCACTCCATACAAAACGTTTTACACGTACAAAAACATCTGAAAACAATTTAAATGACTCGTTCAAGTTGGCTGAAGATGATCCAACAAAAACAGAGATAATAGGAAACCTTGGTGATAGAACTAAGCATCAAAAGAAGTATGCTCGAGTGGAAGGGAAACCGATCGTATGTGCAGTAAACAAAAGCGATTTAGTGACAAAAATGATGGAAAAAAACTTACGAGTATTGGACCTTGAACATTTCCTGTATGGCTCGAATCGAAGCTTCGTCTAGCAATTTATAGCAAATGAACAGGGCACGCACCCTGCCTGTTGTATCCAAATGATAAGGTACAATGGAACTTTTGAAAAGGCGCTCAACAGTAACACTGGAATCGGATACACAGAGAAGGTTTGCTGGTACGAAGTGTGAGGAGATGATTACTTCGAACAGTAATATAACAAACGGAAAAATCAAATGGAAGTGCAGTATTCTTCATCATAGGAATCACAATCGAAGCACAATGTGATGTAATCACCTGAATAGGTGCTCCTTATCAAGTCTTATAATTCAATATCAAACTGCGAGTACAAATTAAAGTTTTATGATACTGAAATCAAACACCGCTTCCTCCACTACTCTCATGTGACAATTAGTCTAGTTGGAAAGTTTCCAATTGAGTCATACCCCGGAGGCTTGTGCTGATGATGAGCGGTGCCCGCAACAAGCTCGCATATCGTGTAAATGAAAAATGAAAAACGCTCTGATCAGTTGCCCAGTGGTTGTGTGAGTAGCATACATATGTTCTGCCTGTGAGGTCCCCGGTTTCATCCCCAACTGGGTCGATGAATTTGCACTGATGATGAGACTTAACCAAGTCAAAACAGTTTTACAGTGCTTCCCAGTTTTCCAGTTTACGTTTCATTTTCCCTATACACGACGAGTTCTCCTATGAACTTGAACAAAATACCCCACTACTCTCATGTAATCAATCACCTCACAGTTTCTCGTTTCGATCAACAGAATGATTTCTATGGATTATTCAGTCGGATGCTTAGTAAAATATTGATATTCTACAACGAAGTTTCGTGGAAAAATGTTTCTTTTTTAAATCAATATATAGATATATATATTTATATATAAACATGCATTAATCTAAGCGATTGCGTGGGATACGAAGAGCACTCTTACCGATCGTCCACCGACGGCAGATAGTACATGTGCAAAATGGTATTCAAAGCCGCTTCCAGCTTTTCCGTAGACGGTTGCTCCGATAGCAAACAACGCTTGTAAATAGTGGCGAGAGCAGTCAAGGCTTCTTTGCGAATAGCTAGGTCTTTGTCACGCGAACGCTCTTTGAGCAAGTCGAACAAGGACTCATTCACGTCGTCCGTAGACTCATTGACTAAATTTGCCACCAAGCGCAACACAAGCAGACGCACATCTGAAGGTAAGATCACAAAACATGTTCTGATGGTAACGAGAACCGGATTATGAACTAAATATGTGAACGGAGACCGACTGTGAAACTGACTGGGCAGATGGTTCGGGTACAAATACAATCATTATCAGAAGTAATTTCGCGATCAACGTTCATAACTGTCCAAAAGATACACCCTTTTTGGTTGTAAGTTGAAAAAGTATCCGCGGGAGAGAGGAGAGCTACTGTTGTCAGGCAAACAACGCGTTTTCCTAGACCCGTTTCGGCCGAATAATACTGCACTAACGTCTTTCCCTGGTCTAGTTCCTTTAACGTTATTTTCTTTATTAGTTTTAAATTTCAATGAAATCATGACACTGAAAGCAATATAGTGCTCCCCCAACACTCTGGAGGGTAGTCCAGAAAAAAGAACACTCTGTCTTAGCGAACATGATCCTAGGACGTGTACCAAAGGACCGACAGGATACACCATTGCACCTTGACATAGTATGATGGCTTGCGTACCTCTATGACTCTGTGCGCTATACAGGATGACTTCCCTCAACCGAAGATCCCAATATGTCTGGAAGAGCAATGGGTAGAATTCAGACAAAGCTGTCTCAGAATCCCAGCTGATTTGGGCACCTCCCGGTTTACCTTAACCATCCACTTTTACACATAGGGATCACCCTGGCAAATAAACATGGTAAGGGGCAGCTTATCGGTCAAAAATCTCGCTGGATAAACGTAGGAGCGGGTTATCTCAGGCAAACGCCCGACGGTGGGCTGTCCCCAGCATCCTCTCCATACTTGGCTTGTTACATTGGGTGTATGAGGCTAAGGGCTAACCCCGACCGCCGGACCGAAAATTAAGGCACCAGCGAAACGAACACCTACGTGATAGATCCCCCCAGTCGGACCGGCACCCTACTGCTTTAAGAGACAGACTTTAGAGTCTGAGTCTCCGCTTAGGATTCCTATAGGAAAAAAAACTAAAATTCCCTGTCATGAGGGTCAGATTTTTAAGGCAAAGGCTCAGGTCAGGATTCTCAAAGAAAAAAAACCCAGAGCGGTATGGGCTGCCGCGGTGTATGTCGTGCCTTTAAGTCTCAGCACCTATTTGGAATACCCTCTCACTTATCTGTCTAGTGCTTCATACGAAATGACTCTTATTTATGTAACTTGGGTAACGTCACTCAGAGTTGAACTAATCAGGCAAGCCAGTGAGAAGCTTTCAGGTTGAGGAAGCTAACACCTACTTTTCACTTAGCCGCATTGAGTGACTGCCCACCCTATCAGATAGGCCAGCATCCCGCTTTAAGTAGAAACCTTAAAAATTTTAATACTGACGTATGCCAAATCCATGGAACACGCACACAAGACCATACTTCATTTATCACTGTGCGTTTTTCGGATCCAACCTCAAAGTTCAAATTTTTATTATAAACGATTTAACAAAGCCAACGCTAATTATGTTCCCTCAGGTTTTTTCAGAATTTTTCGGACAACATTGATAATAGAAAATGATGATCGTGTGCATGATCAATCACAGATGCTGAAATGTTGGTCGTTCCGATGCGTTATCAAGCTGCGATTTGAATAATTCAACTGCAGGAGTATACAAAATGTTATGGAAGAAAATTCCATACACAACACTAACTGCAAACGAGGGATGCCGGTAATCTAGGTGACTGTTCTGGATTCTCATCTTCAACGGATATCCCCTGAGATGATTATTTAGAGAGAAAGTCAAAAAAGAACGGCAAGAGTGGTTGGGTTGATGCAGTATGTGGCATGTCAAGATTAGGTCTCTCCGAATTCGACGGTACCGAGATGAGTAAAGACCCATTAATTGCCATCTTTCGGAGTATGTCTTGTTCTATAGATCTTTCACCACTTTTGTTGCCAACATGTGGGGACATTTTAGAGCCTTCTTGTAGCGATTGAACCACGGATTTTATACTCGAATGGCGTATCCCGTGTGTGGCCGAATGAACGCTGATAGCAAGCGTGGGAGCAGTGCTATTTCGAACTGCTCGAAAGCACTTTTAAGTAATCTAACATGCTTTAGAGCCATGGATGATGCTCTGGCACAATACGCGGAACATCCTACGTTCAGCTGTACCATAACTCCCAAACCTCTTTAATCAATGGCACGTGGCGGTGTCTGGTTTTAAAGAACATAGGAGAAACGAGTCTTGTGCTGCATGGAAATAACTTTGTATTTTTAAACCTTGAATTTCATGTCTACGATGGGCTGCATTGATCGTTTATTGGAGTGCCAAATAATCCTCAAGCCTTACCCCCTGTGTCAGGTGATTCGGCATCTGACGCTCGCGGTGTTTTTGATTTCGAGATCGCGCTAAGTGCCAAGGCTGATCGCTAGCTTCTTGACTGAAACCCAGCCAGTAGCCGACTGCGCACTTTACGTCCGTATCGTTCAGTAGACGTTGACGAATACAGGAAGAAGCGTCGATGCTTATTCGTGGTATCCTTATGTGTACGGAGTGGATGAATAAAAAAGGTGCCTAGACAGAACGTATGCAATCTCAGCCAATCGGACTGACGGTGAAAAATGGATAATTAAACTCCCAAACTCTTATCGGTGATGGATTCGAACTGACCACATTGCCATTACCTAACACTGACGAGGATCTATTCAAGACTGCTGCACTCAATGGCAAACAGCCATCGATAAGAGACAGATTCTGCCAGCCGCAACACGGCCGAGGGAAACGGATGTCCGTAGTACAATCTTCGCGAAGAGTGCGAATTAACTTTCTCTTATTTCAAGTATTCTTCAAAAGACTCAATGAATGCTGACGATTATCAAGGAAGCCATCCCAGTATTGATCAAGACAGGGGTGGATTCTGGCACACGAGTAAAGCGCAAACGATGGATCTCATCGACCTTGTTACAGCAGGATTGGGTTGATACAGCTCCACACGATAACTGGAGAAGCAATAGATAAAGCAGACAAATTTTGTTCGCTGAGCAGCTAAACGCCTCTGAGACAAAGCATCACAGATGAAGTTCCAGTTGGCATCTGCCAGCTTCAGAGATCTGTGGCAGCTAAACCCTCTTGATATCCACCTTCTTGCATAGAGTAGTGTTTGCTGCAGCAGTGCGATCAGTGTTGCCATGTAGCGCCAAGACCTGACGATTAAGCGAACAATAAAATGACCGACTAAGTGTTCGAACATCGTTTTCTACAGCACATAGCACAAATTTGGTAGGGTAACCAGACAAGCAATTCAGAGGTTAAGCGAAGTGCTCCAGAGAGTTGCGGTTGCCGACGAGAGCAAGTGCTCAATATCCAGATGACGTTGACCGGGATACGTATTATTCATGGCGTTTTCCTTCGGCAGAGAAAAATAACCCTTATAGCAGTTTAAGTTTAGGAGAGGTATGTGGTATTGAGCTTATGATTTTGATTGCCAAGGTGTGTCTGTCGCATTGATGGTGTTCACTAAACCTTTCAATCCAACGGATTGGAGGATTAAAGGGAAATAGCAACAACCACCAGTGTGGGCATCAATTGCAGTCAGAAAAAACTGGGCGCGCAAGGTATGGGCGAAAACCTTGACTACCCACTGATACTGTTTATCAAACGCTTCCAGTGGTCTTCCGTAATCGGTGGCCTACAATACTCGCACATGCTTTTCCACGGGCAATGTTTGATAAATATTACAGCCAGAGGGTATACAAGTTGTCTGGTGTATGACAAAGTGTTTCTCTGTCAGTGTGCATTGGGTCCGATGGATGCGTTCAATTGAATAGGAGGTTTGGGGGTTCCAAGGGTAGAATCAATTGCCCCCGCTTGTAAGGGACGATCGCAAAGTGGGAACACTATTTATTGTCACATAATAACTGGTAGACAAATTTGTCACTTTGTGTTCAAAATCCTGAACTTTTATTAATTTCGTGGAGGCATCGGCGAATTAGGGTCAACAGAAGTAAATGCAAGGAGACATACAAAGCTAAAGTCGGCGAAGACATTAAAGGAAGTTGAATAAACGAAAGACCGTGCCTGTAGATTCTTATATAAGTCATAAGATAAATTAACATATATTGAGTCGAGCCCTCATTGCTAACATTTATTTGTGAACTTATCATGTTCGCCACGAGAACATATTTGTCTAGGTTTATAAGCCGATTTGTTGACACTGCTCTCAACATTCCAATATTCCTTGTGCTCTTTTATCTGAGTAGGCAGCCTAAAGATAGCGATTGAAACGGAAACACAAAGGTGCATAGTTATTGGTTTTAAAAGCTGAAAAGTGTCCAACAGGTAAGCACACGTGGATATTCCTTAGCTACGAAAACGATCTCTTTTACTCATAGTGCAGAAACTCAGCTGAGGATAAAAGAAGTATGAAATGTCAAACATTAGTAAACCATACAAAGTGATTGAGAGACATGTATGATCTAAAATAACAAAAAGTTAACCTACCTTCTTCAGGATCATAAGCACGCTGTTTGAAGCAAGTGAGTAGACGGTCTATTGGCAGATCCGGATTTTTCTTCATCAGCTGCGGAACCATATGTACGCACAACTTTCGGACCTCTTTATCGATGTCATTGAATCGACCCAAAAATGCTTCCCATAGGCTGGGGTTCTTTTCGTGAAGTGAGGAGTTCTATATGTCAAACAGTACAAAAGAACGAGTTACTTTAAACGGTAGCAACAAACGATGCAACCGAAAGATGATAAAGGATCCGAACAGGTTACAACTCAAATCTTCTAATATGCCTCTCGTGTAGTTTACACAAATTATCTTGAATCATTTTAAATTTACACGTATGGATTTTGATTGTCGTATTTAGTATGCACGGTATGAATGAAGGAGCGGCGAAGTTACGCTACTAAATACTTATCTCTGCAATATTGTGAGCCGTTTGGCTATTCATTCAATTTACGTTAAAGTTTTGTGAGCCGATAAGAGTAATTAGGTGACTATTTTTTTATGGACGTAACCCCACAAATCTTCATACGTCTTTATAGTGATTTGTCTTTTCTCTAAACCTTGGATAATGATAACAGTAACTCAGGGAAGTGCTTATAATGCTGTGAATGCCTTCAGCTCTTCTAAAACCCCAAATCATTGCTTCTTGTTCATGCAGAGCCTCGTTAATGGGAGGAGGGAAGGCTTCCGTTTTCGACTGGGTGGAACGATCTATCTAACATGCGGGTAAGGTACATTCTGCCTGATACTGATCGAGTGCTCCTCTGCATTAATGGTTTTGTTGTCTGAATCCCGATTGCAGTAATCCCCTTCCCGAACAGCCGCCAGTCGCGGTAGCGTCAAATATGTCCGAGGCTGCCAAATGCGACCCGAGCCCTTCGTACAATTGCCGAAACTAAATACGAGATTCACGGACCAGATGGGATTCAGGTAACCAAATAGCAAACTTTATTGCTTTCCCGGTAAGAACAGGATTAGACACTTTGAAGGTGTGAAAAAACGCCGAACATAGCTTCACAAACACTGAAGCTGTTCTTCGTTAAGTAGAATAATATTACGACACTGATATGCCACTTACTGGTTCCGAAAACAACCGTGCCAAAAGTCGAAAGGAACGTTTACGCTCCCGTTCTGAAGGAGACTTTAACTTCAGTTCAATAGTTGGCAGGACAGGTGCCACCAAACTTTCTTGGATTGTGTGCAATGCGTAGATAACGAGGAATGTGTGTTCGCCCAGAGGATTGGAACGGTTAGGGTCGTGAATTTCCGAATTCGTGTCTGAATCACTCGAAATATCCACATCACCATTGGATGTCGGTTTCGGTTCGACAGGCCGGACTGGTTCCCTGGCTTTTTCCGAGCCTCCAGCAATAAGAGCATTTTGTAACAACTAAAAGTAATATACATGCCAAAATAAAAAAAACAATACCATTTGTATATGATACTCCAATTGATTTGTTGTACGGATAATCAAATCCCTAGCAAACGTATGTTGCTCCGGCTGTGTGGTTCGAGCAGGTTCGATAAGCAATTCCAAGATGTACGTTATGATCTCTGGCGTTAACAGACTTTCTGCTTGAGCAACCACCTTGACCACCATATCGAGTAGCATTTGACGAATTATAGTAGGTTCGGTCCAGGCCCAAACGTTGAGATTTCTAATCGCAGTAAGCAAATAGAAGTGAATGAATAAACCTTGATACGAAAAGCTTACTTCACTATGGTAAATACAGTTTTGATGCACTCGAATAAAGTTGCTTCGTCCTCCAACGATGCACACCACAGAAATACATCAATCTGACAACAAATCTTTGAAGCAGAGTGTGAAATTTAATCTGGAGAACGCTTACATATAGGATGGTATGTAATTTTGGATACGTGATATCGCTTTTGCTTTTCACGTTTGACAACTGAGAGATGCAAGCTAGAATGAAAAGTAGGGTGTTCTGAGGGGGAGAATAAGACAACCGAGTAAGAAGATTGATAGATTTACCTTAGTGAAGGATCTTTCCTCTAGCATTCCCGAGAACGGATTAATGGGACAAAATATCTTGAGCAATTTGCAAACACAAACACCGACACGAAGTTGAATATCAACGGCAGCATGCTGTGTATATTCCGGTGACACCAAGAGAAGGAATAGGCCTTTCAGGTTCTCGTGCTGTGCAGGCTGAGTAGAGCTGTCCGGATCGTAAGTGGAGTCCGCTTCACATGATTCCTCTTCGATTATCTGGTCGAAACTGTTGCTTAGGTCCTGATCGGAAATAATTGAGGCAAATTTTGATAACGTACGTTCAACCGCCGACGTAATTCATCAACCTTGAGTGATTCATTCAACTCTTTGCAGCCAGGAGGGTAAACTATATGGTAACCAACACTTTTGCCCATGGAATGTGCTGATAAGATAAAAGAACCAAAGGCTAAATAACTTGGTCGAGACCAAGAAATAGTCACATAGACGTTCACGACCCAATGAAAAACAAAATTAAAATCCGTAAGAATAAGGAAATGAGTGGTATTTAGTTAACATATGTCATCAGTTTCGTTCATTTTGGTCATCATTTAGAAAAAAAATTGTCTACAGCAAAGAAAGTAAATCCTATGAACAAGAAACATACTTTTTTATATGCTTTAGTGTGATGAACAGCAGACGGGGTAAACCTCATAGTCACGATGATCTACTGTTCAATTGTGGAAACCCGTTAGGTTAGGTGTGGTATTGAACGGGACAACAGTATAGCTGCCTACCACTACAAAGATTCAAAGATTTATTATGGGATTAACTTACAAGCTCATGCTTTTCTGGTCCCATAGGGTCGTGCGGTGGAGTAATAAACAGTGA